GTTCAAATCTGGAAGGCTACATAGATACTACATAGTTGGATTCCGGCTTTCTTCGAATTTGAACACTGCACGTTTGAAAGGAACGGAGAATAAATGCCCATCAGTCACACATCAGATCGATATTAATCGACTTATAAGACAACATCCCTACAGAGTAACTCCTACCCCAGACAAACACTTTGTGTCCAAAGCCGTGAATAAATGATGCATAATCTGGATTCATAGAACTACAGTATATATAGGGTGCACCATAAATATGACGGCAAATTCGCTGGGGTGCACAATTTCCTTGTTCGGAGAGGTTTTTCCAAACCTGCACCTTCCCTTATGTCTTTGATATCCCTCAGCTCCCATATCTACTTTGCTGCTCTCAATTGCCTGCTTTCGGAAAACGGTGAAGTGTGCAATTGTCCAGCAGCCATTCCACCTTTGCGCGCATTTGGTGAGTCCTTTTTCGGTACGTTCTTTGTTTCGATATTTCTCACATGACAGTCTCACGAATGGCGATGCGTGTATAGGCCAACAACAAGTTTTAAGGAGGAGACGGGCAGTAGGAACGGTTTTGTGCAGTCGATCCGCCGCCTGCGGCTGTTGCGGACCATTCGGCCTCATTGTAACAGTTCCAGCTTTCCTCGTACAGTTTAATGGTCTACGGGGTAAATAAAGAAGCGGAGCTGGAACTAGGCTTCAGTACGTCCATCAGTATGTTCTTGAAATACATGTCCTTGCTAGTTTTCACGTGGGCACCGATGAAATCACCTGCGCCTTACCATTGGCCGTGACTTCCCTGATAAACTCATTTTGCCGTTCTCATAACAACGTTTTCGTGAAATTGCATTTTCAATGTTCCTATCCAGAACGCGATCGTTTTATTTGTTCAAGATACGAAAAATTAAATCTGACTAACCGTAAACAAATGATGGTGAGTACAAAAGTCGACGTAGGCAAGTGCAATAGAGTCGCAGATAATTTCGAGAATGAAGCGACTCAGTGAACAACATGACATTCCAATAAGGAGTGTGAAAGCAAAATCCGAATTCCATCCAGCAAGTTTCCTTATAGCCTGCAAAGCTTTGTTAATCGTTGAAACTAATTACGTGTCTCTCCTCATTTTATTCTACTACTATAATGCGTTATCATATCACAAATAGTTCTTAGTATAGACAGGTGGAGCTTACCGATGGGTATTTTGGTGCAAATAGCGGTAGGCTACTATTCTAGTGAAAGCGATGTGGGAATTCAGACCAGTCTAGGTGAACGAAAACAGACTCGAGCTGAAGTGCGCGTACTTCATTCCCTTGATTCGGATATCTTATTCTTGGGGAGCGCATGAGCTGTGTTGGCATGGGCATTTCTCGACCACATATTTTTAAACATCTGTTTGCTTCTTATTAATATTCGGATCCAGAAGAAAACCTAATTATGGAAGGCTGCGAAGCAAATACATGCATAAGTTTGGAACAAAGACAAGGGAGCAGCAACGGAAGGACTATGGCTTATCCAATGTCGAGGTTAAGGAATTTGTTTAAATCAAAAGTTCGAGTAACAGATTGTTCCACAGGAGAGTAAATCAGAAAAGTCACTCACTAGTATGAATATTACGTGCAAAAGTATTGATAACAAAGCAATAATCATCAGAATAAGAGCAGCAATTGTCCGAGAGCTACCGTAGAATATCACTAGTGGTTCGTTGCAATACATCTGAAACAGCACGTACAGGTATCGGAAATACTCTTTTCTGTTTTCGTCCATACAAGGCGAATGAACAACAGCAAAGAAGGAATATGTAAATTCTCTATCAGCAAGTTTACTTAACGAGTAATTTGACCACCGTAATCTCGCCATGAAAAACGACGCGTTTTGCTTACGTTGTCCAAAGGGAATGGGCTGCAAAAGTGCATTTCCAAAATTCCTGGTTCGCAATTATTCTTACGATATGGAACGGTTGTAGGGATGTGGGAACATTCGTACGATCGCACCTGATTGAAGCCACCTCGCGTCTGAGCGCGAAGCTATTATTAGTTGTGAACCTCAATTAGTTGCAAAGACCCCATGGTCATTAAGCTGTCTGCATATCGTCATTAGCAAAGTTGAAGCCTATTAACTGATTACAATAATGGCAGTATGTTAGTGAAGCTTTTTTTAGCTTTTCAAATTTCCAACAGGAACTTTTTCACATCAATGGTGTTCGTATTTTTATTTCCGGGCAAAGTTAATAAATTCAATATTTTTCTGGTTAAAGTTCCAATAATAGAAAAAAGGACAACCTTGTGATCTTGCAAACAGTAGATTGCTTCTTCAGAATACATCGTAATGTCCTAAAAGGTTACCATGATATATGAAGTGCTCATCAACCTGGATTAACAATTCTTGATGACCTTTCTTTAAGGTGCGGAATCTTGCCTGGATTCTTCGTGACATATTCTTTACATTTTTCTACAGCAACTTTAGTTTCTATAGAGGCTTCACTTTTTTACTGTCAATATTCTCATCAATTAACACACTTTAACTGTGTTATGAACGATATGCAGGCAGCATAATGACCATGGAATCTTTGCACCCAACTGAGGTAGCCTCCCACCCGGGTCTGGTACCTTCTCCCCAAACGGCGTGTCGCTTTCGCCCCACGCCGTGTCGCTTTCGCCTCACGCGATCGCGCGTTGTGGAGGAAAAGCTTTGAATTCCAAGTGGAAGGATACGACAGTCGCCGCGAAACCTCTGCCGCAGGCCGTGGGATTCCGGGGAGAAGTTCCGTCACCACCTTACAGCCAGGTGCCAGGTGTGCTCAAATATGTGCGATCCAAAAGTCCGCACCCCCCGTTTGTAGTATCAAGGCTTGAACACAGTTACTATGACCAGTACAAAAAACAAAGGCAACAAATGAACATTTTGCATGGAGCAAACTCAATTATGTAAATCAAATCAAGCATGCTCAAATGGCATTTCGCAATGGAAAGTTTTTATGACCCATTATGAGTTACAAAGTTGTTTTTTTTTACTTTTTTCCACATATGAAATGCTATATAATTAAATTCCGCTCATCGAATTCTACAAATTGGTCAGTAACTAACTTTTTTTGCTAACTGATTATGCCACATGACTCACGTCATGCAATAAATATATAAATGTGAATAGCGGAAGTTCACGTCGTCATTCCATCAAAGTTTCCGAGGGCGCGTCATTAGCTACAACGTGTCGCATAATTTTACCCGAAAAGTCGTCTCTAGGGTATTATGAGAGCTGTGAAATACCTACAGTATTTTAAAATGAGCTTTATTCCTATAAATCACATTTTGTCTCAGGCACCGGCTACAGCACCTGCAACTGGTCGACCTTTTTCTTCGGAGGATCCTACACCGGCGGGGTTTCTGCGCACCACGACAACAGCCTTGCTATCGGTGGTACCGCAGCCGTAGCTTTACAATCTATGTTTACTAGTTCTCGAGGCTCACAATCTATCTAATGTGACGACTAGAATGCAGCCGTACTTCCCTTTTGCGATTGAGTTCAAAATGATGCATATTTTGAACAAAACACAAGATTTGCTATATTAAACAAGCACTTTGAATATTGATGGAACAGCGGGTCCAGGCTCCAAAGTTATCGCTCTTCATTGGTAATTTATTTTTTCATTCGGCAATTTCGTTCACGGAGCGTTTTTACAACTTTCAAGAAAGGCAATAGTTACTTGGTCACTTCATAGTCGTGAGCGCTCAAAATGCTTGGGTCAATAGCGGGTTCCCTGTCGACTTAGTACTCGAAGATGGTAGAACTTAGCAGAAGACAAAACCATGGTTCCCTCTAATTGTAAGATTACATTGAAACATGTTTTTTAGTAGGAACTCGTGGAAGGAGTTTCTGTGAAGCAGATATATACGCGTCTGTGCTCATGGTGAATCGGAAAAGCCAGAAGTTCGATCAAAGAATTCCGCAAGTGTCCTATGGATAGTGTGCGAGGGTTAACAAGCAGTAAACGACTTTATTTCAAGAAGTCAGTTCGAGTTGGGACGCTGAACAAAGGCCCACTGACCGGAAAGTCTCGAGAGAGCCGCTGATCTGATGAAAACCAAAAAAAATCCAAGCCCAGGAATCAAGCTTCAATACAATGGAGATACCAAACGAAATGCTGTAGCTGCTGCAGTGGTGGAGACCCTCAATTACTCTGTATCCGTTGCCAACAGGATCAGCAGCGGAATCAACGGCTGTGAAGATAGAGACGAAAGAGGGATACTAGACGATAACATCGGCATATGCACCGCAAGCCGGGAGGCTCGGAAGGGAACCTCCAGCAATGGTGGGAATCAAACGAAAATCGTGCTGAACGAGACCGTCCCTCAAAAGTGTAAATGATTAAAAGAGTTTGCCTGACGAAGACTGGCTCTGGAAATTCCTCCTTGCTGAAGTCACCCCGTAGGACAAACACAGTAAACCTGATACGAACCTGTTTAGTTCATTCTGTGCTGAGCAAAGGAAACGCTAAGAAAGAATTGAGTGGGGTTCGAAGATGGTTTGCTAGGATAAAAGCTGCCTGCAACGCTGACCGAAGATACAAGTTCCAGGATACCCACCTAGCTGCATAGAGAAATTGCATGAGAAAATTACAATTACAGAACTGTAGTAATGAATGCAAAGTATATAACAATGGCACCTTGTACGAAAGTTTGACCAATGGAGAAATGAATCATAAAGAATGAATTCGACTATGAGTACAGTTCTTAAATAGAGCCGCTCCCATTGCATTCTGGACAGAAGATGAAATCCGCTGAGCAATAGAGAAGTTGAAGTTTGCAAAGGCAACTAGTCCTGGTAGGGTACTAATGAAGGCATGAAAGGCACTCGGAGAGCAAAGGATCAGACGGCCCAGTCGGTTTGTGAACAATGCGAATACTGGAGGAAGTATTTCAGATGCATGGGGAAGCATTACCATCGTCGCCGGCAGCAGTACCGTCAAAATAACTGTACCCATAATGAAACTGTACGAGTGATTAGTAAGCCCAGGAATGGTCCTGTCCTCAAACGATCAAATCGACTTCTTGGCAGAAGGCTCTACATTTGATGCAGTCTCCATAGATGGACAAGTGATGGAGAGAAATCGAGAAGAGCTCAGGCTCAAAGTCACGGGTGAGATTCACCGAATGACAGGTGAACGTGTTCCTCTTTCTACATACAACACTGGATGTCGTCATAAAAGAATTCATGAAAATAGCTAATTTATCGCAATAATAGCGGATAGCAGAAAAGAACTCTAGGGTAAATTGCAGTGCAGGTGCTGCAGAAATGGGCTCGGGCTAAAAAACACCAAGCTCCTCAGGAATGGGGTCCAATGAAAGGGATCAGAACGCCCGATACCTGGAAACTGTTCTACCCATTGAGATCAGGCTAATGGCCCGAATAAACGTGGCAGAGTTGATATATAGGGAATTCACGCATATCCTTAACTGAAGATGGCCCCCGCGACAATCAAAGGAAAGGTATACAGAGCAAAAGTGAGGCCTCCAATAATGTACTGGTCTCCGTGGGAAAGGAGCGCTAGAGAGGCTTTGCTCCGCTGAAAAGAGGGCCTGCGGTTGGTTGCTACTGGACAGGATAAGAAAAGAAAACGTCAGGGCAGTCACGCAAACAGCCCTTGTCCAGCTGGAAAGGGGAGATTAACGTCTGCGATGGTACGGGCATGTACTGAGGTCATAGTATCACCCGATAATAGACGCGTTGAAGTTCGAGGATCAAGGTGAGCGACCGCGAGAAGCTCCAAAGAGGAAGTGACGAAACGTGAAGAAGGAACTCGTTGTGGTACAAATGGCTGCAAAAGATTCCGCGGATAGAAGGTGGTTCAGGCAGTTGACAAGAGCGGACCTTGGGAAAGCGCGGGATTATACTGTAGAGAAGAAGAAGAACAATAAGGAGAACAAGAACAAGAAGAGCAAGAAGAAGAAGCAGAAGGAGGACAGGCCTTGTTCCACTGTCGTCCAGGAAGTTGAATGCAAACATGGTCTCTGCCCTTCTTTGCAGAGAGATCTCGTACCACGTCATGGGCAGTGCAATACATAAAGGGCCTAGTCGACTTCCTGATAAGCATCCTACGCGTAAGCCGTTGCAGCTGTTCAGTAGTACCTAAAATCCCAGTTGGCAATTAAATATTAGATTAGTAGTTCGAGCTATGGAGACAGTGAATTTTGAACTCGAATGAATCGTATTGGTCATTCTATTGCAGGTAGATGTGGTTTGGCTGAGAAAGTCGGGGGCTTGGCATTAGCATTGCGTCGACGAAGCTAAACTAGAAATTTTGTCAGACGAGATGAAGGGCTCACAATATCAGGTCGCTCATCATACTAGATGATAGGAAACCTATTCCTGAATATTCTCTGGTTGCTGAGGCCTTAGAAGGCGTATCGAATTACATTCAAATCGGAAACGTACGTGGATGAAGGCTGCAGGGTGGTAAGATAGAGATAGAACGCAGTGGGAATGCAATTGCCGAACTCATTAACTGTTAATTGTTGTATTACCCATTCTTTCACTATATGCCTGATGTTAAATGGGTCCACCCCTTCCCAAGAACCATTTCACTATACCATTGGAATGGCCAGTGACCTTTATTTATAGCTGCCAACAAAAAATGTCGAATATTTGCTTGACAAAAATCGGAAACTATTTCCCCACACTACGCCCTACCTTCAAGGGCTCATCCCAAAAGTTGCCTTTGTAGGAATATCCTAAGCCCGTTTTCTCAAAACTCATCACTTTTCCCCAGAGAGCAAGATTTGTGGAATTTTGCGGTGGCCCAAAACACTGATGACGCTTTTTCAACATTACCATCTTGACTTCAACCTAGGGCACCGTTTTTGATGTACCGAATCACGGAAACACACAAAAGAATAGTGTACTATCTCGACCAAGTTAGAACGAACACGTACAATGGAGCAGAAAAAGTTCTCCTGACATTGTTTTTCACTTTTTTCGTTTTTCATTTTCGGTTGCTATGGATGTTAATTTAAAGTAGTTCTAATGAGCGCAGGTGGTGATACGCATATTCTCTCAGGGCTCTGCATCTTAACAAAGTTGCTACGAGAAGTTCATTTCGAGAAAAACGCATCATAAATTATCAACTGTCTCCCATTACTGAGGAGACCGAGGTAAAGCTGCTATAGTAGAGGGTGCTGAATGTTTTGATTGTTTCCAAGGAAATTGCCAATCTGGTCTGTTGAATTACCCTGTGACATTGGAACAAAGCGCAGTCAAGCGTTTTCCCATCCATTGAACAAAACATGTGAATCACGTTTTGCAGAGATCTTCTCTAACTGAAGGGTTTTAAGCATGTGACGGTGACGCTGGCAACCCGACTTATGCCGATATGCCGGTACAACTCGAATTCACGGGTCAGGGTCCCCGTTGAGCAATACCTCCACTCGATTTGTCTCCCAAGGGTGTGTTGATGGCTTCGTATGTGTTGGACTTCACTGGGTTAGCGCTGTCAATAACTAATTGTACGTGCATGTCGGTACAGCCAAAAGTTTGCTGTCAATGTACCACGAAATGCAATGAGAGACGTCATCACCGATGAAAATGCTCTCGCTGCCTTCTACGGTATATGCCAGTGAACATGGGGAGCCCATGTCCACTTGCCAAATTATTGGCCTTGTACAGAGGTTCTCGTGCCTATTTTATGTCAGCGACAACAAAAAACAGTGAAAAAGCTGAATAAGGTCATTTTGTATTTCTTTTTATTCGTCGTTTTTTGCGGTTTCTTCGTTGTTTCCGCACTATTCTGGACTCGGTCTATCATTTTCCGACAAAAAACGGGTACCCTTAATTTACGTGAACTGTGCTTTTAAATTCAACCACCGTCCGCTCCATTTGTGCGATAGTCCCTGCCATGGACATGAGGATGCGAGTTGAAGATTGCGTAAGTATCCACCGCTGACTGCGTAAATATCCACCGCTGACCTTTACTCTCATACATATCCTACTCTTTTAGCTGACAGGGTTATGATAGTAAGTGGTCGAGGTAGTGTCGCCTTATCAGAGCAATGATGGAACGGTTAGATGTTGTTTTGATGTTAAGTAAAAATACCTCATGTGCTTGAACAAGTCTTGTCAACAACGTTAGTACTTCGGAAGTGAAACATATATATGTAACAGGTGTCCCTGGAATGGTAAGAGGGAACAAGAAAGAGTATGGAACGCTAGCAAAGGTTGGAACGTAGTTAAAAGTACAGCTCTTTTGGATTCTCACCATGAGTCGTCATAGCCAAGGTGTTCAACACAAAGGTGAGCCTTTATGAGAAGCTCTAGGGGGACGAAGAGTCATTTTTTGTCTGAATCGCCCCATCAAGTTACTCAAGATATCGAGGTGGTGAAAAGTGTTTTGAGCTGCGAAGATGCTACACCCAGGAAGTTGATGAAAGCCCACAACCGATAGAATACTTTTCATAGGGGGCTTGAACTCTTCAATTTTCTGCATGGTCGAGAGAACAGAACTATCAAGACAAATCTCGAGCAGAAGGGAATACAATGGAGTGATGCACCATCATAGTAGCAAGATGGTTTGGCATATCATGAGGTGCTAACTGATTTGTTAGCCGAAGCTAGGGTAACAGCGCTGGTTGAGATTTTGCTAGAAAAGCTTAGCTTCATTACCAAATGCTCGCCACGAATACTGTTTTAATCGATACACAAATGACAGAGCACTGCTGAGAAAATCATCACTTTTATATTTCACGAAAAATAAGGCTTTTCAAAAGTCGTGGAAATAGACGTTGTACGAGATGACCATGACGGAAATGGCATGAAAGGAAATTCAGACGATATTTTAGTTGTTACATTTGCCTAAAGAGCTGACTACACAAAGTCAAAATTGTCTAAAGCTGCCTTCCTCTGTCCTCTGGCTTATGTCAAGTTGTTTGAACTCTAACATGGGAGTCCCTCGAGATAGTACAGCCTCTAAAACACCGTTGAGACTCGTCCGCTGTGGGTGTGGCATTCACGCGATACAATGTCTGGCCCCTTATTGAGCCCTATTCAGGACGTTTCTATATCTGACATCGGCACATATGGATGAGGAGGGGCCTAAAATTCATCTTATGAAGAAATTCAACATACGTTTGACAGCTTATCCGGTTTGGTGCTATGGAAGGTGGTTTCAGTGCCATGTCCCAGAACATCAACACTCTTGCGAAGAGGATGTGCGATGGAACCGAGGCGGTTGTAACAACTTTTCTTACATCAAATGACAGGCCTGCATTGGGGTTAACCAAGACTCAGAGATGAGCCTTTCCCTCCTTTCGACGCCCTGGTGAAAGTTCTCGTTTAGGGTTGGCGAAATGTCGTGTCCTATGTCCGATGCCCTAAGCCGATCTCATCATCTCTTTCATTACTGGCAACAGAGAGGGACAACAGTCCAAATGCAGAAGTAGGGGCAAGTGCAGACAGAAAGTGGTTCCCTGGTGGTTGAGTAAGACTACACACAGACTTCCAAAGAAGATCCAAGGCGTCAACCAAGATGAGATCTGAATCCAACTGCGAATCCGGAAGGCCCAAATCGGTTGGGTATGGAAGGAAAGAAAGCCTATCCTGGTATCAACGATGCCACAAAATTCTTTGAAGCAAGGTGTGTCTAACATTTTTGAGGGTTATCATGTTTGTGATAGTATGGACACATCTGATAAGATGAGAATACCTTTCAATATAGAAAGCACGATATTAGAAGTTCAGAAAGGGCCGCCACGACAGAAGAAGAAAAGATTATCCATTTGAATAACCAAGTGACATGAAACTGCGGTGAATAGCCGGACATAATTCTGTTCCACATCATTCAAGGAATTCTAATGCACTAGAAATCTTCTGAAAAGCTGGTCAAAGTTGCAAATTGAACTGGTTTATGCATTCCAAGCTGAGTAAGGAGAAGGGGATCATGCCAGTGGTAGAAGTGAACGTTCCCCACTCCTACATCAAGGGCTTCGATCGAAGCTGCACATCTCCGTTGAGGTTCAAGAAGACTTGGACTCTGAGTACGCTGAAACCGTCGAAGTGTGAAAGCAAAAGTTTTCGACTAACTTGCTAATCGGTACCACTGAGCTTGGATTTCTTTGTATGGATATCAAAATTACACGTTAATATTAGCAAAATTATCAAAAATAATAAAATTCGTACCACTGGAGTGGTTTGTGATATCTAATTATCTCAGACATCACGATAATTTTGTTGCAACGAGATTTTGATTAAACTTGGGGCGTGGAACCTAATGAGATTGTGGACCCTTAACAAGTGACGTTCTGAATCAGCCATGCATTCCAGAATTGTGATGGGTGAAACCCTAATTGTGTTATACAGATAAGTGAATTTAACCGAAAAATTACCTTTGCCTGGTGGAATCTCAGAATCTGGACACCCGAGTATGTAAGTTTGAAAAGGAATTCCAAATCACCCATAAAACATACATAGTTTGGCCATCAGCGTTATTTTGTTATGGAGCAGTTGCTCACGCGAATAGTAGAAAAGAGCACCACATCATTATTGAAAAGAAGTGGTCATAAAAACTGGAAGATTCCAAAAATGATTAGCTCATGATCGATATCGATCTTGATTGTCGATTGCTCAATGCCGAAAAAGAAAATAATGTAGGGACAGTACATTAGGGAAAAGCAATGTTTCAAAGTTCGATGAACGCCGATCAGATTACCTGTACTCGCCTACGGAAACAACGAAAGTAGAGCTGTACCATTGAGTGACTTCATAACAAAATATCCCTGCTCTTCAGGAGATGGGTGGAGTATGCTGTGCCATGCGTGATGGGAATAGGTCTTTCTATAAACTGGAATAAGATGTAAAGTGATTATACTTTCAGTTCGACAGACCTATTCCCATCACACATGGCACAGCATGCTCCACACATCTGCTGTAGATCCGTGTTAACCTGTTATAAAGTCACTCAGTGATACAGCTCCATTTCCTCTTTTTTACCTCAACTCGTACCCCATAAATGAAAACTAGGAAGTCAGCTCGAGATTATTAGTATTTGGTAATTATAAATTCCGTGTCGGCAATGAGTGGGGTGTGGTGCGTTAGGAACGAAATGGTCGCGTCGCGGTGAGAGGGGCGTCGCGCGCGAAGGAATGTAGCAGGATGCAGCAGCCGGTAAGAAATACAAGAACAAAAGCACTAATAGTAGAATTATGCATAAAATAATGATCGCATATCGATTGAGCTGTATGAAGAACGCTAGAGCTGTAATGACGGCGAATGAGTGGTCCGCGACAGCCGCGTGCGGCAATTTGATTACCCAAAATCGTTCCTAACGCCCATCTCCCAAGGTAATGTGGTCCGTCTCAATATCGATTTTAAGTTACGATATACCATTAAAGCGCAGATAAGGTTTTCAACGATGACCTCGAAGAGACCACATTTGATGTTCTTTGTAAGGCTTCTACAGTTTTTTGTGAAATGCTTCGATCCCGCTCTCTTTGATTCTCATAAAGATTGACAGAAGACAAATGTTTTAAAAAAGCTTACATTCATCGATTTGAAAAAGACCCTCGAATACCGTTGAGACAGAAGTGGTTATCGGATCCTTGAACAAGCAGAGTGTTCTTACTAGAATTAGGTTCCGTGAGCTTCACCCCAATATCAACATGCGCATGCCTCCTTTTTGCAAAAAGCCATCGACAACTAAAAGAAGGCCCTACAGACCGACATCATCTCATCCAAACTTCTCCGTAACTATAATAAGAAACATCGAGCATACGGAATGTATGCTCGCTGAAGATGACAAAGATTGTGGGAAGTTGTGGATTTACAACTAAATTAAGCAAAAGGGACGTTCATGATAAACGGGCTAACTCCTGATGCTATCTTCAGCGAAATGGATTTCTTTGAATGCTATAGCCATGTGTTACTGATAATTAGTGAAGACAAATGGTCTTGCTTTGGAGCCTACAACTAGCAGAAGGTAATGAGCTGTTTGGAAGGCCTTTAATAATGAGGTATAGTATAGAAATTGAAGGTCATCCGGATTTCGCTTTTCTAATAAGCGCTGCTTTGGTTATACCTCAGCGATTTCACGCAGGCTGGATAAGCATGCAGTTATATGTTATATAATAAGTTATAAGTTTATTACACCTACGGAAGGCAAACGTGAGAAAGAAAACAAAGCGCAATGTAAATAAAAGGATAAAAGGGTAAAGTTTTTGGCGTTAATCAACCCCGTCTGAAGGGTGTGCCCCGCACTCGACTTCCATTCAGAATCGTAGTGGCGTAATGAGTGCGTATGTGGCCTATACAATGACTTGCGGTNCCTAGGCGGGCATCGATCTGGGATTCGAACCCCTGACCGTGCGTGTGATATATGTAGTGCGCCACTTGCTACTACACCACCTCCGCCTTTATCCCTACACCATC